TCACGCCCACGGCCTTTAGCGTCTCCATGTTCCCGCGGCGGCCGGAGAGCGGCGCACAAACAGAACACCCGACACCCAGCGCCCGAGGACTACGGGGCCGCCCCTCCCGCGTCCCCTATAGGGCGGCCAATCGCGGTGCGCTCGCGGGTCTCCTGGCGCAATTATTACGCGGGGTTCGGCCAATCGAAGGGAGCGGGTCGTGTCAGCGCGCGGGTGCGCGCCAATCAGAGGCACCTGTCTCTGAGCCAATGGGCGGGTGGGCCGCCTCCTCGCGGCGGAGGGCGCTGTGTAACCCTGGGGGGGGGCCGCTGGGGCGGTGTCGCCGCCACGGGAGAAGCGGGACCCGCTGCCGTGAGGGCAGGGGGAAAGTGGGGCCTTCTCGGCCGCTGGCGAAGCGGTGCCCGGGCCTGGGCAAGCTAGGCAGCGGGGGAGAAGGGGTCGGACCCCGCGCTTTGGCCTGCTCCGCGTTTTCTCTCGAGAGGCTGAGGGAATTTGCTGCTGCGTTTCACATCGCGGTGGCACTTGGGTCCTGAGGAGACCGTGTGCTTCGAGCGGTCTCACTTTAAAGCTTCCATCAGGCTTCAGTTTTTCGGTCTTCTAATGCTATGATTTCACCCAGACGTAGAAAACAGAAGGGGTCGGACCCCGCGCTTTGGCCTGCTCCGCGTTTTCTCTCGAGAGGCTGAGGGAATTTGCTGCTGCGTTTCACATCGCGGTGGCACTTGGGTCCTGAGGAGACCGTGTGCTTCGAGCGGTCTCACTTTAAAGCTTCCATCAGGCTTCAGTTTTTCGGTCTTCTAATGCTATGATTTCACCCAGATGTAGAAAACCTCTCTCTATAGACGTGCCCTAAAGCAGTGACGTGGGGAGAAGCAGCAGCAGCAGCGTTGTTTTCCTTTTCCTGCAAATGTTTTCCTTGTGGTAGCTCTGCGTCTTTTTCCCTCCCCTGGAGGCTGTTTTCCAGTATTGCCGTGACTGCGGTGTGTCGCATCATGAACTCCCATCTAAAACTGGAACGCAGTTTTGAAGCTGCCTCTGAATAGCTTTGCATTTCAAAACAGTTGCCCTGTCCAGGATATGTTTTGTACAGAAACCATCGAAGTTACAATCTGAAGCTGGTGTTGCTCAGCTGCTGACCTTTCTTAGCGACACTTTGCACATAGGCTGTCCACAGTAACAGGCTGGGTATGCAGTATGCAGCTCAGAGCTCTGCTTAAAATGGAAAGCGTCTTGGGGTAGCCGTGGACCACTCCTTGTCTGAGGGATGTGTAGGGGAGAGGTGGCAAAATAGATTCTCTCCATGCTGGTAACACTGACAAACCTTAGACTCCAAGGGGAGGCTAACACCAGACGTGGGGAGCATACAGCTCTGCAGTTTTGTTCAAAGATCTGCAGCCTTCGAGCATTTTAAGAATGAAAGATTGCATGTAATGAATTCCTTTGACAAACCCAAGTTGCTTGTTTTTTCTGCTGCATTGTTGATGGAGAAGTTAAATCAGAAGCACAAAATTATTTTACAATACTTGGGAATCTAGGTAATCTGTGTATATGACTAAGGTATAAATGCCTTAAAGCCCAGGTGTTTTTAAGTCACCTGGCTGAGAATGCCATATGGTCAGGGAAGGACGTGTAAGGTTTGTTTCACACATCAGACTCAGCCATGACACCTGAGTCATGGCTCAGGTGATGTGACTGAAACAAACAGGGATTTGTTTGCTTGAATTGTGTATTTCTCTGCTTGAGAAAGAAGCAGAAGGGAAAAAACAACACCTACATGGAGAGTATTTGTCTAAGAAACAGATAAAGACTTGTAGTTTAATCTGGAAAGAAGCTGAGAAAGCAGGAGAGCTGGGCAGCTTCCTCTCTAGGAGGCATCTCGGCACTCTGAGTTAAACTCCCTAGAGTTTCATTCCTGATGTGCCTGGAGAGAAGAGACTCTAAATTACTTGTGAGCAAACAGGTCTGTGCTCATGGCACAACCTGCAGCACCCTGAGTGCTTGCTAGATCAAGAGGAGAGATTCCAGTGCCCTTGAGGTGAATCTTGTTTGATTTAAAATGGTTTGTAAACTTGGAGGGATAGTAGTGACTCATTTTACTGTCAGTCATCTTTGGCTTCCCATATCACTAGCTTTGTTTGTCAGTGCCCTTTGATAAAGAGGGACATCCTGAGTGCTGTGCTATAGTGCTTTCTCTTATTTTTAGGCCTACCTCCAAGTCCGCCTATGTTTTTATCAGACAGGTTTATTCCTTCCTTCCTGGAGGTAAGTTTTGAAGATCTGCCCTTCTTCATGCCTCTACATGAATGTAGGACAAACACGTGGATAAGAGCCAGATGTGTCAGGCCTCTTAATATGTCAAGTGAAATAATTTGAAGCAATGATTTCAGAGATTTATCACATTAGGCATCAATGTCAGGTTACTTGTGAAGGTACCCTGAGGTGCCCGATGCCTAAGTTAGGCAGAATGCAGCTAACAAAGCTGACGGGCTAAGAGACACCATGATGAAGTGATCAGCAGCAGGAGGCTAAAGGAGAGATGTGAATTTCAAGGACTCTCATACAAGAGTTTGTATGGCACATGCAAAAAGAGATCAGTAATCTTATATAGGTCATGGCCTCACCCTTTAGGGTGTTTTCTATTACTCTTTTCTTTCACAAGTACAATAGAAATACAAAAGTATTAGTTTACAGGTGTACTCTTTCACATAAGTCTTATACAAGAAGCCAGGGAAAGGTTTTTGTTTTGTTTTCTCCCACATACTTCCTTTTAACTCATTTATTTTCTTAAATCTAACCAGTAGGTGAAAAAATCCACCCCAAAGAAGCTGAACAGGGTGTTTGGTAGCAATACCTTATTTTGTTATTTGGAGTATCAGAGTCAAAGCAGAAAGGAAAGATGAAGAAGTGCAAGGTGCAAAGCACAAACTTTGATAGTAGGAGCTACAGTAAGACAGGATCTGGCAGGCATGAGAAAGAGTGGCATCTCTTGTTTGACATCTCCCTTTGCCCCGTACCCCGATTCTGTCATCCCAGCTTGGAAGAAGCCTAGGGCTTGGGCCTGGCTGCATCTTTATAGGTAAACTGGTGATAAAGTGGGCTGGTCCGAAGCCCAGAGGGTTGAAACTAATACGGGAGGGACAGACTTAGGGCTGGGTGGGCACACAGCTTTGTCTATTCGCCCCGTTCTGCAGTTGCCTGCAAAGCATATTTGTAGCAGGGGAGTGAAGCAGTTTTTTGTGGTGATCAGAAGGGTTGCTCTCACCGCATAGGGGTAGACACACAGGGATCTCTGAAGAATGAGGATTCGAGATAGTCTTGGCTGTTTCCTCATTTGCCAACTTCAAGGGCAAATGACATAATTACTGTGTGATGTAGGTTAGCAGAAGTCTAATCTACACAGGCGGAAGCTAATCAACTTCTAAGCAAAATATGGAAAAGTAACAAAAAATCCCAAACCCTTATGTGCTGTAAAAATATGGCATATATCAAGCATAAAGCCTATGCAGCACATTAACATGCTTTCTGATCAAGATTTTATATGGATTAAAAAAGTAGAGGGAATTTTGAAGGTTGTGGTTCCCGTGGCAACCATACCTCTGGCGCCTTGTGCAACTATATAGTATTTTCTACTTGTGATGTCTTTTCTGGAAAAACACGGGGTGAAAATAAAATTGTAGTGGTAAATATCACTCCAGATCACCTGAGCTTGTGTGCATAAGTGCTCGCTCATCAAGGTCACTGTCCACAAATCTGCATTAATGTAATGTTTTATGTTTATTTTCTTACATTAAGAAAAGTAAACAGAAACAGCATGAATTTTGAATAATGGTCCTTCGTAAGGGCCTGTTATGTCCTTGGATATGCGTCTCTGGTGAGAGACTTATCTCCACAGCTGGTGAGATAAGTATAGGTGTGCTCATCCCAGCATGCAGGAAAGCAGACAACTGTCTCTCCTCCGCAACCTTGTGCTCTAGCGACTGAGAATCCCAGCGGGGCTGGATCAGAGCAGTCCCTCCTGCTCCTGGAGCAGATCTTTGGCTATTCTTAACCCGTTTTTCCAGCTCAGCGGCTGACTAACCCCTGTTACATGAAGGTGATGAGCAGTGGCTTCCCAGTGCTGTAATGGACGGGTTGCATGGTCTTGTCATCTAGGTCTTCTCTGTGGGAAGGTAGGAAGCTGCATTTCCAATGTTAGTGTGACCTTGCGCTGTGGCACCGTAGAAGACTTGCTGCATTTGAGAGTCACCTAATGCACAGAGAACACAGTATACGCGTGTTTGTTCAGGCTCGCTCAGTAAGGAGCGTGCTGCACCACACGTAGGTTATTATTCTGTATTATGAATGGTCTGGAAGAGGCTTGTGGGTTGATTTGGTTTTTGCCTTTGGGATCCTACAGTCTAGGTGCTGGAATCTCCTACTGTCTAATGCTTTGTCACCGGACTCGGATGTCTACACACCAGTGCCTCGCACCACCTGAGATAGTCCAGGCTATCTCCTCTGGCCTCTAGCTGCTACAGAAGGTGTCCTGGAGCTGCTGTTCCCTACCTGCCAGCCCCCTGTGCATCCCTGAAGGCACTCTACAGCATTTCAAAGAGCACTAGGTACGTACGTACGCTAAGGAACCAAATTGAACCCTGAGCCTTTGTCCTGGGCAAGACATCGTGTGTCGTTAAAGTCTTCCCATTTGATTACACATGGGTAATGACACTTCCCTACCTCTAAGGGATGCTGGGAGAGGTAATTAACTGAGTTTATGTTTGTATAGCATTTTGAAGATGAAAAGTCCGGTGGAAATTACTAAGCATTATTTCAGTAGAAACTTTGTGACGGTTGCTCCCGAGTGGAAAGCCTGCCGTTCCAGTTAAGGGGTAGTAGAAGTATTCATGCAATTAACATAGTGTTGGCTGGAAAGCCGTTACATGGAACATACAAGATTAAAAATAACATTCACTTTTAACAGCTGAACTGAGCTAATCTGTCTGCCCCAAGTCCCTCATCCTCCATTGCTTGACAAGCTGAGTAAACTTGAAACGTGAGACTCAAAGGAGAGGTTGTGTAAATGTTGATAAAGACCTTTGTACCCAGCATGGGGCTTGCTGCCGCAAGTTACTACAACCCTTCTAGGGCACTGGTGCTATTATTCAAGGTCTGTCCACTGATTGATTTTTTTTTTTTGCTTGTTAGCATTCATGAAGGGCTGGACTTTAAATATTTCATGCAGTGCCAAAGCCTGTGCATGTTATTCCAGTGAGTATTTCTAGTGAATTCAATGGATCGTACAGATCCTCTGCTGAACCACGTATGGAAGTCAGCAGCGGGCAGTCTGTGAAAGCAGTGCAAAACTGATGCTCAACATCCCTTCTTGCACATGCACCCCCGTACGGGCACGCTCTGAAGGAACTGGGCGGTAGGTGCCTGCGCAGGGCAGCAGCAGTCGCAGGAGAGGGTGCTCCTGGCAGTGCCCACTGCCATGGGGATTTCAGACTGGGTTCCTAGCAGCTGCCAGCTCTGCGCTAAAATGCTGACAATTTTTTAATGGTACTAGTAAGGCTATGATATTGTTTGCCTCCGTCTCCCTGAAACAGCAGAAGTAGCTTATGAGAGAGAAACCGTAGACCTTCGTTTCTGCTCAAAAGGCTGTGTGACCTTCGGCTAAAAAAAATAATGAGAAAACGCGGAGTTCCTGCCAGGCACGGCCGATTCTGCAGTGCCCTCCTGAGAGCTCGTGGGCCGGAGCTCCTGCATGCCCGGCAGCCCTCGGGAGAGTTTCCCCATCGAAACAGCCCGACAGGCTGAAACAGAGAGCACAAAGCAGCTAACAGTGACCAGCAGGATTGTCATGCAAGACGGGATGGATGTACACATGGATCCTGTGGATTCTCTGGGTGTTTGCAAAAAAATAAATTGCTGAGGTCTTTATGAGAGCTGATGCTATAGCACAAAGTGATGACTACAATCAAACTGTATTGTGGGGAAACATAGCTGAAGTTTAAAATGGCTTTTAAGGTATTCACTAGATTTTTTTTTTAATTGGGCTTGAATAGTTTATAAAAAATTCAAAAGCATAGTTTGGTTAAGGTAATGAAAACTGTAATCTGAGGCCTTATTCTCCTGCATGTACCTATTTTAAACTAGCGTTGCTCCAGCCTCAGCGCATACACTCCCCACCTCGAGCAGTTTATTTGCCTTTTTTTAATTGGGCTTGTTTAGTTTATAAAAAATTCAAAAGCATAGTTTGGTTAAGGTAATCTGTAATCTGAGGCCTTATTCTCTACCTATTTTAAATTAGCGTTGCTCCAGCCTCAGTGCATACACTCCCCACCTCGAGCAGTTGAAGCACAACCGCAAGCAGCAGCCACAGCAAACGGCTGCCCTGGTGTGCACCCCGCCGAGGCAACGGGCACCTCTCTTCCGGCCACGGCAGCCCCCCGCAGCCCCCACCTCCTGCTGCTTCTGAGGGAGTGGGACAGAAGGCCCTGGGATTGTGTGCTGCAGTTGGATTCACCGGAGCAAAAATCAGGCCCAGAGGGTTTGGGTTTCTGCTCTCATGGGAGCACAGGGCTGTCGGCATGGCCAACGTAGGGCAGACCAAAGTCCTGTGAGTCCTTCACCCCATTTCTGGCAAATGGGCATCTCTTGAGGCTGCGCCAGCAGAGCTCCCTGGCGTGACGCCACGCTCTCGGCCGGCCCCACGCCAGGCCTAGGAGTAGCAGAGCAGGGGGTGCTCGAGCTCCGGCATCACAGCCAGCGCTTATCAGGCATTTGCACTGTCAGGAGGAAAACGGGTACGCGCACATTTGAAGGTACTCGGTGGCTGGCAAGGCTGCTTCTGCGGGGGAGCAGAACCAGGACTACAGAGCAAAGCACACTTCAGGTTACTGGTGATTAAAGTTTTTGTCATGGAAAAGTGAAAACGTTACCTTTGAAACTGGTCAAAGACAGAACATTGTCCAGAAAGGTCATCTGAAAGAAGTTTTTTTAAGTTAGAGACTGTCGAAATGTTTAGGTGTTCAGGAATGTTATTTTGCCCACTGAAAGTGTCCAGGCACCTAAATGGATGCAACTAAAACATTGTGCCTGTGTGTGTGCATATAAATATATTTTAGGAAAGTATATTTAAAATGTCAACTAGGATAAAAATCAGTGAAGTCCAAAGAAAGCCTGTACCTCTTCATACATTATATATATATGTTATATATAATGACCTACTAAGGATTTCATTCACAGCGTAGAAAAAGAAAAGCTTATTCTTAGATTTTTAGCTAGGATTTTATTTGCAAAAGTCCTTATAGTTGTAATTACACTTTTAATGTCACTTGATATATAAGTTGCTTTGCAAATCTCAACCCACATAAGCACATGCCAGAGGTAACTCCCCGTGCGGTTTCATTTGGATATACTTTTCAGCACTCCCTGACACAAACTGTTCTGCACTCTCTCTTCAATATTTACCACATTTACATTTTAGTAGTACAGCAGGTGTCAGTACACCAAAGGAAGAGGCAAAGGAAGAGGTGTTTTTTTTTTTTTTTTTTTTTTTTTTTTTTTTTTTTTTTTTTTTTTTTTTTTTTTTTTTTTTTTTAATTTTGCTTAACTCAGCTGTGTTGGGTAATCCTGGAGATGCAATTGTTTGATTCAGTACAAAACCACAGTGAAAATGCTAATTAGTATGCAATTAGAAAATACCTAAATGATACAACAAGGTAAACTACCCCATTTCTGCAGTGGGAAATCAAGACTACCAAACAGAATACATCTAGGCAGGTCTCCAGAATAACAAAGATGTGGGTTTATTTGGATTTTTAAACACGTGATTTCTTCTCCGGGGACACTGGGTGGTTGGGGAGCGGCCGAGTTCTTTCATGAGCAAGAAGCAGAACTCAGCTTGGGTTTGTACAGCTGTCAGTGAAACGAGGCTTCTGGGTGCTGTTTTAATATAAGCAATAAGTGGGAATGCAGCTGCGAAATGCATTAGCCAGGTATTGTAATACAATTTCCACAGTACCGCGTAATTAATATTTATGTGACCACTTGGCATCTGTTAGGAAATTTTTTCCGTAGGTCAGCAGACGTCTCCAGCCTTGCCAAAAGCATGAAGTGCACCCCAGGAGAAAGCCTGCAGACTTTGCACCCAGCGCGCATGCCGGGAACCATCGTCCCTCTGGGTTTGTGTGATCTGGAATGCCTTCATAAAATGTGGCCAGAGCAGATACGAAAGTTTCCAGTCAGGACTCGGGCACTGTGACTGTTGGTTTTGGTGGACAGAAGAAAAAGTCCCCTTCCACATTCACTTGTAACTGTCGAGAGACTTTTAACAGCCTGCCTGTAGGT